GTGCAATGACTGTTATAAAATAAACTAATAAATTTCCACAACTTTCAAAATTAAAAATAATTAAATAAATAACAACAATTTTGCAAAAACATTAAAGAACATAAGAATATTATTCAATAAAATTATAGGTTACTTTGAATTTTCGATTTCCTAGAAATGTACTTTTAAATCGTTACTTTTTTTGTTCAGTACTTGTACTTTTACTTGTACTTTTTACTCGTTACTTTTTAAAATAAGAACTTTTTACTTTTTACTCGTTACTTTTTTTAAAAATGCTTGTACTTTTACTCGTTACTTTTTAAAAGTAACGTTGCCATATATGATTGTCAGTGAAAACAATTTGTTTTGAAAGAGAAAAAAAAATTTTCTCTTATTTTTGTAGAAATGTATTATTAAAAAAAAGAAACGAAAATTTGAATTACTCTATGTTGAATTGGGACATTCTGAATGGTATTAAAATAACATTGGATCAGTGGAATAGCAAATTAGACTTAATGTATCAATTGATATAATAGAAGAGTCTCTGTGATCAGAATTTTTTTTAAAGAGTGCAGACTGTATCAGTATAACAAAATTTTGTACTTCCAATTTCCTTAGTGCATTTGAATTAGTCATTACTTGATTCAACTTTATAATTCAAGCTAATTAAATTTGTTGTGTCATTAATTTTTATATTTTCAATTTCATTTAATATCTCAAACATCTGTGTATAATGATTGCTTGCTTATTAAGAATTTCTCTGAACTTTTTATTCGACGTAGTATACATAACTTATCTGTTTGAGTATTTACGTTAATTCAATTCAATCTTTATATATATATATATATATATATATATAAAGAGAGATGGATAGATAGATAGATATCGCCTAAATAGAGTCCATGCATTTTATGATGTTCATTTTTAAGCGAGAATTCATTTCAATGTTCAAAATCGCATGCTATCCCTACAGTTTAATTAAAAAAATATATTGTTATGAGTAATTTTGGTTATTTATACATAAGAAAAATAAAGTGTAAAGTTTACATATAGTGTGAAGTTGACATGTGCATTCTGTTGATTTTTAAACTTAAAAGCCTAGTAAATAATTGACTTTATTGATTATAAAGTGATATTTGGAATGGGTAGATATTTTTAGAAAATTTCCTTTTATTACAGTATGCCGGGGGGGGGGAGCAAACAATTTTTAATGTAACTTTATTAAAACTAAATAGATAAACAAAATATAACAAATAATGAGAATAATCAGTGTTTTCATCACAGAAAAAAAATGGGTGAGAATTTCTCACCCTTTCTCAAAAACAGGGCGAGATTTCAAAAAGTTAAGTGAGATTTCTAAAAACTGAAAAAACACAAAAACTTTTGGAAAAAAATCAGTTCTTTAATTATAATACATTTTTAACGTCTTCTATTTTTTAAAGCATTGAATATTTTTGGTGCATCATCATAGAAGATTTTGCCTTTACAAGGTATTTGTCCATCTTACATAAGTGCATAAAACATCTGAACGTCTTAGATGAAGAAACCTTACCTACGGTAAACAAGAGGTTGCAGAGAAATGTGTTCTGAAAAGGGTTCCGTGGTTGTGTTCTGTAGTTCGAAGAGGTTCTGAACAATACTGGTAAATAGGGAAGCTAGATAATGGGGCAGATGTTGAAAATAATTAAAGATCCAGGAAGAAAAGTGAAACGGATTTCATTCTAAATGGCTTAATTCGAAGCTTTTTCCAAAATGCGAGAAATTCGCGAGTTTTGAAATTGATTTATAGAATGCGCGAATTTCTCGCGGTAATAATTTTTTAATGCGAGAAAAGGAAAAAATATGCGAGATTCTCGCGTTCTCGCGCTGTAGTGAAAACACTGATAATAGACTTTAACTACTAAATAGATTTTATTGTTTTCAAATTGGCTGCTTTTTATTGTGATACAGAGGTGCAAGCGCTCATTGAAATTTTCAGCTGTGGGCTGCAAGTCTTCTACCTTTAATCTATTCTATTCGCGCTGAAGTAATTGCTTTAGAAACACCAAACTTTTGTATATCGAGCAAGCCAACAATTTCACACTGTCCTGTTCCATGCTTTAACAACTCTAAAATTTGTCAACTGATTCGACTGAAAAAAATAACGGCAACGAGTTGGCTGACACTCTTGCAAAGAAGGGACTAGACCATCCAGTCCCCTCCACCTCAGAGCTTACATACCTTGAACTTTTTGCAAGACAAAAGGCCCAGAACAAACAAAAGTGGCTGCTTCCACCTATTCGCTACTGGTATAAAGCAAAAAGACCAGGACTCTATCTCTTCCTGGCGACAGGCAAACCAACACCTGCTTATCCCGCCTGGCCAGTGGACACCTAAAAAATCTCACATTTTCTGCAAGTCAAAAGATCTTTCCTCTTTGCCCTAAATGCCAACAAAACCCGGCATCACCTGAGCACATCTTGAATTGTTTAGGGCTGAACTGGAACAACATTCATTCCTCTCCCATTCTGGTTTCGGATTTTCTTAATATCAACGGATTCATTGATCTGGTCTGACCCCGTCAGACCAGATGGGAATTAGCAACAACAACTCTAAAATAGCAGATCTTTTGCTTGACATTTTTTAAAAAGGGCCAAAAAACAATATTTACACTTGGTGATATATTATAAAGTATTTTATTAAAGTGGTTGACAAAAAAAAAAAACAGAAATTAAAACGAAATCAGTTATTTTCTATTATTTAATGCAATGACTTTGTCTGATTTTTTTTTGCCCCGCCCTGTACAGTTTATATTGTTGCTGCTTTAAATTACTTGATTTATTTATTTATTTTTGTAGCATAACTTTAAATTTGAAAATGTATATTTTAAGACATGAACTAAATATAACTATTTACTATATATTTAGTACAAAATTTACTATATATTTTAACTATTTACTATATACTATATATTTTACTACTATAACTAAAATACTATTTTTCAGGTTTTGGTGTGGCTGAGCGTCTTAAAGGTTTCAAAGTTAAGGACATTATATATGCCGGAAGAAAAGAGAAACCTGAAGGTAAGTTTTCTTTCGCTTGAGACGGGCATACTTTTCATGTGTTTCCTACTGTATTATTTTTCGCACACTCAAAAACATTTTTAAGGAACCATTTTTCTATTAATTTAGCTATGAGAACGTAAATATTTGCATACATTATAGAGTGCTGCTTTTATATTTAAAAATTTGCATGCTAAATATCTTCAGAGTATTTTCGTGTCAACCAATCAAAATATTTTTATAAGATCTCACTAAATGATTTCGCATTATGTATATTATATACAGTGCAAAGTCCCGTATCCCAATAAGGTGCAACAGGTTTGAATCCCAGAATTGGCTTGTTGATACGAATTCTGCAACCAACTCTCTGTGGTTAATGGGTTATAATCTCGTTACTGTTGAGCTAAACATGGGTGTTTTTAGAGGTTTTCCTCTACGTATAACGCAAAAGTGAGTAAGTTCCATCGAAAATCCTCAACAAAAGCTAGTTTGCCCCAATGTTTTATCTAGGTGTTCCATTGTCTTCTAGATTAGATTCAAAATTACAAGGCTTTAGAGTTGAACATTGACGGATGTAAACTCAAAAATTGGTTGGCTGTTCAACACCGGCTTTTAAATAAAATCTTTTAAATTAATAGATTGCTTCAAAAGATGGGTGATCTTGAAATTTTGAGGAATCTATCAATCACATTAAAATCAAAGTTTAATCTTTAAAAAAAAAATCGGAAAAAATAAGGAAAAAAATTTCGAGGGGTTGGCCATCCGTGCTGAAACTTAACCCACTGACGGTTCTGCACGTAAAAAGTCGCATATTAACCTGCAGTCTTCTCTGCGTAGCAAAACCGGTTTTCCCATGTTAATAGATAGGGGAACTGTGTGTAGGGGAGAAACATTCTCCCAATTTTGCCCATTTCCAATTTTGCCAGTTAATGTTTAAAATTTTAAATACATCATTCATCTACGAAATTAAATTATTTATATTGCGAAGTAGATATATGTACCCTTTTTCTGAAATTCAGCTTTTAATTTTATTTTTCTAAAGACTGTAATTCCTGTCTAGTGTACATGTGTGGAGATCTCCAGTCAAGGCACTTTTGCACTATTTTAGGTAACTAGATATACTTTGTTTGTAATGCCATATCAGTTAAGCACAGGGTAAATTAAAATTAGCTAAAATTGCTATTATTTTTTTTTTCGTACAGATTAGTACAAAGTTGTTTCACTATTCATCGGAAGCTTGTAACTGTGTGAGAAAATATTATATGAAGAATATTTATATATTTTCTCATACTGATTCGCTAAATATGTATGTATATACCAAATTTAAAGTTAATCTTAGTTTGTGAAGCATTTAATTTTGTCAAACTTAGGTTGCACACATTTATATTCTGGTAATTAACCTTCCAAACATTGAGTCCCTGAATAAAATTTTGCCGAAAATTTTCTATACACTCTTTTCAAACTCACCAACACAGAGAAACTGGTTTTTTCATTGAGGAAAGTTACACCTGAAAATTCGTAAAAAGCCAAGGCTAACCCTCGGAGAGTTTATACCAATAGTGGTTTCTAACATTTGATTATATTCAATTAAAGCATTTTGTAATTGAATATAATTATTCGTAATCAAAGAAATTATATATAAAAATATATCATATTTTACCTATATAATACTTATTGCTATTTTCTTTTCTTTCCAGCTCGAGAGAAACTCAATGCCAAATTTGTGCCCTTTAATCAACTGTTAGAACAGTCTGATTTTATTATTGTCTGTACAGCTCTAACTCCTGAAACACATGGCATATTTAATTTAGAAGCATTTAAAAATATGAAAAGAAGTGCAATATTTATCAATACCAGTCGGTAAATACTAAAATAATTTTACTCTTAACTAAACAATAGTTGTAATGATATATACAATATATTAAACAATAGTTATAATGTTTTGCTATAAAATGTATCTTATTATAATTTTTTCAACATAAAATATTTCCATTATTTTTTTTTTCTTTTCCCCATGTATAACAATTTTGCGGGAAGAAACATCACAACAAATTTAACGTATGAATACTGGTGTAATTTCCATTACTAATGGGTGGTTTTAGATTCCTTTCGTTGTTTTTTAAATAATGTTAAGCGATAATTTGAAAATTATTTTTCATTGAATATGTTGATATTTTGTTAAAAATATTTTTTCAAAGCTCATTTATGGTAAAAATTGCAAAAATATTGGACATCCGATTATAGTTTTAGATAAACCAAATGAGAATTTGAGGGAATTATAGAGCTAATTATTAGTGAATTTTTCATTGAGAAATTTTAATTTAATCTACCAGAATTTCATTTGATAACTATTTTGAATAAAAATGATTGTAAGAAATTACAGGGGATGGACAAAATAATGGAAAAACTTTTCTTCATATTTCTCAAGAAATACTTAAAAAATCATTTTATAACTTCAGAAGTGTTTAAACCATGTCATTTCTCATACATGCCAATGAAGGTTAGAGGAACTGAAAATAAATTAATTTTTGAACACCCTATGCCGAAAAATGTAGGAATAAATTTTTTACTTGTAACAATTATTTTGGCTATTATATGCAATATTTGCACAAAATTCCACAAACCTAGATTAGATGTTTATGGAGTTATAGACATTTTTATGAAACATAATTTTTTTTTATTTGCTATATTCAATAAAATTTTAAAGCATTTTGGAGCAATTTAAAATTAATTACAAAATGGTTGCTTTAAAATTTTTGAAAATTTGTTTAAAATTGTGCAAGATATGAGTACTTAAAGTAGTTATGTTATACTGTGAATGCACGTAAAAGATGTTACGTTTTTTTCTCATAATTATGTAGGGAATTGTATTTGGCTAATGCAAAAAGTCTGATTTGAATATCTTAAAAATTTAAAAAGTTTCAAGTAATTTTTTTTCTTAAAAAAACTCAAAATGATAAGGGGTTTTCTGCAAATGTTATTTTGTATCATAGGACAAAATTAAATAACAAATGATAATTCCTTACAATAAACGTTTATACACCAAAATGTAATTGTATAAGAAAAAACAGGCCAAAAAAAGATATGTTTATAGGGGATGATCCCCAACAATGCCGGTGTAATTTTTAATGAATCTTGTTTAATAATACGAAATGAAATTTGTGGATAACCCCTTATCATTTTGAGCTTTCTTTTAAAAAGTAGAAAAATTGCTTGAAGCTTTTTAAATTTTTAAGATATTCAAATCAGACTTTTTTTTATTAGTTGCCAAATATGATTGATTTACAACAAAACTACGAAAAAAATATTTAAATTTTTCCCATGCATGCACAGCATAAAAGAATGACTTTAGTCACTCATATTCTCTGCAGTTTTATACAAATTTTGTTATCACAAAAAAAAACATAAGACGGAAAAACTTATTTTTTATAAAAAGCTAGGCTTACGATAATTTGTGGAATGTTAACCAAAATACACAAATGATACAAATTTATTGCTACATTTTTTGGCTTAGGGTGTTCAAAAACACTATTTTCCGTTTGTAATTTATTGCCGGTTCCTCAAACCTCTAAAAACTTTAAACTTCATTGATAAGTGTGAAAAATCGTATAACCTAAACACTTCTAAATTTAAAAAATTATTGACTAATTATTTTTTGGGAAATATAAAAAATGCATTAGTATATAAATGTTTCCATTATTTTGTCCACAGAATAGTATAAAATATCTATGTTTATATTTATCAAGGAATATTTTGTTGAAGATCTTGATTATTCATTTCCAATTGTACACCAAAGTAACATAGACAAGCAAAGTTTGGACTATTGAATTTACATATTTTACTTTTTGCATATTTCGTGATATCTCAAAAAAATTTTAAGCAAATTTAAACATTTTTTCGCACTATTATAAAATTTGTTCATCCAAAGATAATTCCATATAAAATATAACTATTGGTAAATGTTTCTTTTTTTTTATTATTTAATTTTATAACAGTTAAAAATATTTTGAATTGTAAGATGTAAAAAATTTTTCATCTTAAAGAAGGCAATTTCAAATGGAAAATTGGAGGGAAATTGGTCGAATAGTTCCTCAGAAATTAAAATTTAACAAACTCATTTTTAAAAGAAAAAAATTTCTGATTTCACTAACATTTTGTGATATTTCATCCAAAATTGCTTTTTCTAAAATGAACCTTACAATTCAAAAAATTTTTGACTATTATTAAGTTAAATAATTAAGAATAACAAATATTAACTGTGAGTTACATTATCTTTGGATATTTTGTAAATGTATGCAAAAAATGTTCAATTCATTTAAAAAATTCTTGAGATATGGTGAAATACAACATAAGTATTCTGTGACAAACCTCTCTAGCACTAATATTTTTCTGCAAGATGCTTATAATAATAGCAAATGTACTTGGTAGAAATTTTTGAAAAAACAAAAATTTTAATGTTTTTTTTTTTTAATTTTTTTTTAAACTGTTGAGAATTCCCTGATATATCTATAAAGAAATTACTATTTTGAATAAAGGATCTTTAAAAACTCTACAAGTAGGCAAATAAAATTACTTGTATTTTGAGGAAGAGGCCCATAGTAAATTTTAAAACTGTATCTTTCTCATTTTAAAATTAATCTGACTTTGTTTTTTTAAAACAAATCTTTATTAAATTTATTTTATAAAGTTTGCAATAAAAATATAAATCTGAAATTCTTTTTAGTGGGAAAGTGGTGAATCAAGAAGATCTTTACACTGCCTTAACTACAGGTCTAATTAGAGCTGCTGGATTGGATGTTACAGATCCTGAACCTCTACCAACGGATCATAAGTTAACAAAGTTATCTAACTGTGGTATTGTATATTTTTATAAAACTTTCTATTACATCAATTTTGAAATCTCGTAAAATCGTAGAACTGTAATGTAAGTAGAGCATGCACATCAGAGATAGTTTATATTTTCAGAATGAAATTATTAAACGTGGGGTAAATACAGAGGAAAATTTTCTACCTTCCATTTTACTTTGTTATTTTAATAAAAAAATATTTTTGCAAAATTTTATTAATTTAATTATCTAATTATTATTATTTATTTCATTTAATTATTTAATACATTTAATATTTTTTTATTTAATTGTTTATAATGCTACATTTGGTTGTACGGAGAAATTTGTTAAAGGAGGATCTTTCTCCTCATATATTTCATGGATTAATTTATTCCTTTCATTCATTTAACGATTTTTGGATTTAAGATTTGTTTTAAAAACAATTTAAATAAAAAATTATATTATCTCAGATTTGTTAAATATGAATATAGAGATCATATAATAATTTACTTCTTCTGACAAAAATGTTTAACTTCAATTCTCATTGTATTTTCCTTTCAAAATTATTGGAATTTTTTTAATTAATTTTATTACAGAAATACAACCTAGTAACAAATTTTAATAAAAATTTAATAAGGACCCATTCACTAATGTACATTAAAATTATGAATTTATTACAGTTTTCTAAGTTTACTTAATTCTTTACACATCTTTATAAATTCAGTATGATCAATAATATTAATCTTGTTACTTGAATATGCTTTTGTAAATAACTTTTATTTAATTCTAAAAGATATATTCGATGACTTTTTTAAATAATAGTTAAACTAATTATAATTTTGAATTAAAATCTGGTTTTTTTTTCATAGTTATAATAATTTTTAATTTAATAATAGAATGAGCCATTTGATGTTCAATATATGGGAAACTGTCCATAAATTGTTTTTATATAGGTTAATGTAATAAAAAAAACTTTTTTTGTCAGAAACTAGTTATTTTATCTTGATTATGTAAAGTCTTTGGTATTAGCATTGTGTTAATATCTATGTTACTGGCAAAGTATGAAACGCCGGCATTGTATATAACGCTGGATGCTTTTAGGCAAGGTTTGAAATATGAGAAGTATTGCATATTTTCCCTAGGCATTGTGTATAATAATTAAGCGTTCTATAGAATGACAAATGCTATTTAGGCAAAGTATGAAAAAAAAAAAAACGTCCTGAGGAGATTATTATGTGCATATCTCAAAAATAAAAATTTTATTCTGAAAAAATGACAGTGCCTTTAAAAAAAATTTACTCAAAATGCATAAAGAAAAATGAAAGTTGTAGAAAACATAATTTATACCTTTCTTATTAAGGGAAACAAAATTTTCATAAAAAAATAAGAAATTACCCTACTTATTGCAACATGGCAGGCTTGAATAACATCTTTCATAACTTTTCATTCTCCCGAAGACCTTTCATATTTTGGCACTTTGTTTTACACATACATTTGACGAATACTTGACCGCTACCATTGGACTGTGCAATTGCAACTGACCAGAAAGGAATTTCGTGGTAAGGAATTTCTTCAATTCTAACTAAGTTCTAAGGGCATAAAGTGAATTGTGATATCACATATACTTGTTTTAAAATTACTGCAGAAATTCCAAGTCGATAGAAACCATCCTCTGTCACACTCATTACAGCTGCCAATATATTGCGCAAATCACCTCACACCTTGTCGACATCAAGAATAGGTACACTCACAGTAGCTCCCAAAGAAACAGTGGCAAATTTTTTTTCAGAATTCGTTTTCATTTTTTGGCTTGTATTTCAGTGTATTAGAATTTATTTTACTTTCGATGAAGCAAATATTGCCCAAAATATCCATTTCATCACCTTTACTAGCATGGCCACAGAGGGTATGAACTTTTCAACGACACATTTTGCATGCAAGTGCATCTCTCGTTTCCTTTAAACACACCCAAGAAGTATCAAAAATGAAAATCTCTGTGGAAAGCCTGCCTAGCTGCGTGTTATTTGAAACAAATCGGAGATGTGTTTTATACTTTTCCAGTTTCTCATTTGGCATTCCATAGAGTGCCTAGGAAATGAGTGAAATATAAATCGTTTCATTGCCGGCTAGTTAATAGGAAACAAAATTTCTATTAGTGCACATATCCTAACTAAGATTTTTTTTTTAAAAAAAAGAAAAAGTGCCTAAGAATATTTTTGATTGCTTATTACTTATCAAAAAATGTGACTACGCGTGCTGTCATCCATTCAAACATTAACTTAGCTAATTACACGAAGAAATTTACCCCAAAAAGCGTAGATTATTAACAGCCTTTATTATGTTCGATTAAACACAGTATTCTTGAAAATATTTTTAAGTAAATGTTTTAGTAACTGTTTTTTTTTTATAAAAAGAGTAACATACTACAATCACAATAATATCATCTGCATTTTTAAATTTTTTGTACATTAAAAAATTTAATGTTTTTATCTAAAAATTTACTGAAGATTTATTGAGTTACTGAATTTTTCTTATATATAAAATGATATATTTAGTTCCTTTTTCCTATTTGTAAATTAGTTTTATTGTGAAATGTAATTTGTTGTGGCTGTATATGAGTAGGTTTTTAATTTTCATCATTTTGAAATAATAATTGTATTATTTAAACACACTAATTACGAAATGATAAATAGCAAGAGCCTCTGTTAGTAAATATAACATTAAAAAATGTGTCATTTTTTTTAATTTTATGCTTGTATTAAATGTAAATGTCTGGAAAAAAATCTCCTTTTATTAAAAAATATGCATATTGCATAGTTTATATAATTTTTTTGACTAATTAATTATTAAAAGTGTTATTCTATCTATTTATTGCAGTTCTCCTTCCTCATATTGCAACTGCTGTTGTGGAAACAAGAGAAAACATGAGTATAATAACTGCAAATAATATACTTGCTGGTCTTGAAGGGAAGCCACTACCTTGCCCTCTATGAAGGAAAGAAAAATTTTGTTTTATTTACAGTTAACTTAATTTTTAACTGATATTTGTTGTTGAGAATTTCATATGTATATCAAAGTTTAGAAAGAAATGATGAAGAATTGCAATAAATTTATTTTTATTACTATCTTTCGTCATTTTCCTCAGTTTAAAGTTATTTAAATTTTTTTAAAAAATAATGAAAAGCCATTTTAATTCTCCTTATTTTACTAAAAAATAAATTTAAAAGATAACAATTCTGTATGTTGCAAATGATTATGAAAAAATTTAAAGTAAAAATACTTTTTTTTTATCTTTAAAATTGTGTTCTAAAAGATTTATAATGATTCGAAAATTGATTTAATATCACTGAATTTTAAAGAATTTTGTTCAAATAATATTCTTGGCTGAAAGACTCTGCCCTTACTTGCTTCTCTCACAGACCTGTATAGGTGCTGTTCAATTGCTTTTGTTCCTTAAAACAAATTAAAAATTATTCAATTAAATAACAATTTTGATTTAATTAATACAGATTTGGTTCTGTTGAGATAAAAGTAAAGCCTAATAATTTTCCCTAGTTACGATTGCAACTTCATCCTCACACTTGTATCAAAAATTATTTTTTATATTTTGGTAAACTCGTTTTTAACTGTTGATATAAAATAACTATTGATTATTTTTCACCAAAGAGATTTCTTAACAATACCAGAAAAAGTTAATTTATAATATTGTTTGTTTCAAATGGTTATTTTGTACTCATAATTTATCCATTTTGAAGGAGAATAATATTATGGGTAAATACCTTTAGAAAGAGATCAATAAATAATTAACATGTAAATACCATTGTAACTTTAATTTATTTTATTTTGATCAAAGCCAAATATATATATAGAAAAAAACCAACTATCCGAAGTGTTCGGAACCATCGCTCTCCCAGATTTCTGAATTTCCTAGTTTTCTGGATCACTAAAAAACGTCGTTTATCGATAGTTTATCACTCCCAAATTAATAACGCATTTTAAAATGGGAAGAAAAATAGTAAAAATAAAAACGTTTCAAAATAATAAAAGAATGAGAAATGACATTTAAAATCTTAAACAAGAAAAAAAAAAATTACAAAGCACAAAATTTACACTCTTATTATTTTTTGAACGTTTCATCACTTTTTAAATCACTATATTTTAATTTATTATCCAGAAATGGAACTTATCAGATGAACAGCCATTATGTGTGTTTCTTTAGTAAATTACTCAAGTTTCATTCCTGCTATGACTTCCCTTGTTAAATCCACGCAACATTCATTTATAATTTTTAAAAAAAACTTAATTAGTGTAAATGTTTCTTACTACAAAAACGTTTGTGCTATCATCTTGGAATACGGACAGTGGGTGAAAAGGACAATTTTAGCCCTTGATCCTAAAACTTGTTCAAAAATTTCATGTTTGTTGAAATGCATGTGCATCTACTGAGCTCAGTTCGGTGAGATTTTTGCACTCTCGTGGAGAGCTCTGCTGCATTTTGCAAGATATTCTCAATTTCAGGCTTCATTTTCCACCCTCTGATATCTAACCTCTTCATCTTTTTATAATGGCTAATATAATCAAGAAAAGAGTTCTTTGTCAGAAACTGGTTATTTTATCTTGATCATGTAAAGTCTGAAAATTTTTTTGTTAATGTATCTAGTGTTTAAACATATTTTTGAGTGCTTAAAAGGTGCTTATTTTTTGTTGAAAGATTTTGCTATTCACCCTGTCATGGCGTGAATAGGTGGGCTACATCACTAAATGAATATTTCTGAATTTATCTGAAGCCACATGCTTATTAATTTAGACAAAACGTAAAAAATCACCATAGTATTATTGGCAAAAATGATGCTTGATTAATTTTGGTGATAGGTACTAGTTAAAATAAGCTATGTATCAAAAAGGAAAATTAATTAAGAAATAGTACTGATTCAAGAAGCATTAAGAATCACCCTTCTATTACTGGCGCCAATAATGCTTATTATAATAGTTTGGCAATTTTTTACACTTCTCTTAAAGGAATTACTACCATTTCTCAATTTTGCTTTTAGCATAACTTATTTCTTCTTTTTTTTAAATTTTATTTAGTTATTATTACTAAAATTATGCAGAAAGAAAGTACAGGGACTACAAAAGAATAATAAAAAAAATATGATAGTTCGAGAATTATTAAGTATTAAACTTCTGGGGAAAAATACCAGATTTTGTCGATCTGCAGCCTGCTGAAATGCTATTACGGAGTTAAAATTAGACATGCTGCAAGACCAATTTTAATTTGTGAATTAAGTTTCGAAATTCCGATTCGTTCAAAAGTTATTATTATTAACTAAAATGGTTTTTCGTGATTTGTTTCAGTATTTTAGCTTTAAATATAAACTATTTATCTGTTGTAGGAAATTTATTTTTCCTCGTGAAATCTTTATTTTATAAGATCTCACTCAAGTAAATGTTAATCAAAAAAAGAGAGAGAGATTGCATGTTGCCAAATATAAATTTTTCATGAAAATTCTTTTAAAAAAATTAATAAATGAAGATAAAAACCTTTCCCTATTTTAACTGTTATTATTGTATGTTTTCTTTTTATTGGTTCCCACAATCTGCATTCCTTAGGATAATTTTAATTTATGATTAATATATTATCAAAATATTCTTATACAAAGCTATAATGTTTGTATATATTGATTACGAAATGTTCTGTGTTTGTGTGGAAAATATTGAAATTTAGAAAAGAAAAAAAAAACAATGAAGAATCAGATGCAATTACAGCGGTAGACGAACGGAGCAAAGCAGGGGTCAAATAAACTAGTGTTTTTGAAAAAATAGTTTAATGATTGTAGTAATTCCAAACATATTTTGTATACAACAAATAATATTCTGGTTATAATAACTATTAGTTGATAATATTAAATACCATAATTGAATGGTATACGTGTTTAATACTGAACCTGAAAATAACCACTTGTCACGTGGCTTGTCAACAAAAAGAGTGGCGACTTAAGTTAAATAAGTAACCAATCCTTTTTCCCATCAGTTTTTTTTTTTTAAACCGTTTAATATTAAAAGTACGTCGATGCAGAAAGACTGTGGAAAACAGAATTAAATTGTCTTTATTCAAGAATTTGATCCTTCAGAAACCGTCAATTTGTGATGGAAAAATAATTCAAAGTTGTAATCTATGCATTTAATGTAGTATTTTGCCTCCCCAAATATTTTAAAATAAAATTCTTTAAAGTCAATATGTTTAACTAAATTTTGCTCATTTTTATATTATTTCTATTATTAAATTAACTTTTTATAGCCATAAATTATTTCTAGCATGGATTTTTTAAATATTTAATTTAATCAAATCAGAAAAAAAGTGACTATTAAAGGAAAAGGTCCCATCTATTTTTGTGACCGTCTCATTAGGTGTAGGGGAAAAGTGGTTACGAAGTTATAAGAATCTACCGGCCACTGACTACTAACTGAAAATTTAAATTTTCAAGTCTATGTAATATCATAATATAATAACTGATATATCATTATTAGATCAGCTATTTCACTGATACGAAAAAAACAAATGATATTTTGCGTATAATAACCATTAGTAAATGAATACCAACAAAAAAAAAATTTTTTACCCAAAAAAAATTTTTTAGGTAGAATTTACGATTTATTTAATATAAGTAAAAATAAAACTCATTTATTTTTCAAACTTTTCAGCAATAAAAATATTAGAATTTGAACAGAACCACGGTAAAAGATACAACTATCTCCTCCCCTTTTTTACCTACATTTTTTTAGGTTTTGTTGTGGAGAATATATTTCATTACGTTATTATTGCTTTGGAAAAATTCAAAAATGATTGTTACGATGTCAATCAAAATAAAATATTTTATATCTTACAAAGTATTGTGTCTTTATTAAATGATTTGACAGTGATTAGAATAATTAATAAACATATTCTTTTTTTTTTTTAGATTATTTTTATTTTCAAAATATATTTTTTTTATTTTCAAAATATCTTTACAGAAATCTTAATATTCAAAATGTTTTATCATATCTTTTAAAATCATATTAAGGTAACAGATTATGCGCATGTTGTTGTTGACGTATGCTTGTTTAGGCAGAGGGGGTACGATTGTTCTTGTTTTTGCAGTGGCGCCATCTATGGCCACGAATTCGACTTCTGCGACACCATGCGTCTCACCCGTTTATAGGGCGGACCCATTCATTCATCCACAGATCGTAATTTTGACCTGAATCAGAGAACGATCGATCTCCAATCCAGTACCCCCAGAGGTTTTGATTTGTTATGGGAACTTTTGCGACTCGACAGATTTAACGTGCATCAGTCACTTTACTACACGGGGAGTCTTCGGCCGGCAGGGTTCGAACTCTCGGACATGGACCCAGCGCCCTACCGACCAGGCTATCCCGGCCTGTGATTATTCGCATCATACGTATAAAAGAATTGTGATATTTTTGTGTAATAAATGTTCTAATTTATGGTTCCTGGTTTATATTACATGTTTTTTTTTAAGTCAAAATTGTGTTGAAAAGTTTTGGTTTGTTATTTCTCTTATTCTAAGTCTCAGTTATTCTTATTCTAAGTTACTTCAAGTGTTACGCAGATGCGTTGCTTTCGATTTCAACATTATTTTATAGGCAACAATAAATGTTATTAACAGAACTTATAAAAAGAAAAATTTAATTTCAGTAATGATTCCTCCACATGCTGTAATTTATTCGTGCGTAATTTTTTACAATTTTTAAGAATAATATCAAGTTATTATTTTGGAATTTTAATCTAAAAACTCCAAACATTAGATGAAATAATAATAAAAGAATTTACATGCATTTTATTTTCGAAAAAAAAAAAAGTTCGTCGCTAAATACACTTTTTAACGCATGGGGGGGGAGGGGGAGCTGCAATTTATGAAAGTTATGCCTGAATCTGCCTTAAGAGAACATATATATGAAGGATAAAAGAGTAGCAACGCCCTTCACATATAAGATTTAAAATAGTACATAGATTTTGGGAAACACATTGATAATTTGGTTCATGTTTTTAGATTTGGAATTCAATTAACTTAAATTTACATTTTGAATGCTTATCTTAATGATGAGCATCCAAAACTGCCAC